TGAAATGTAACAGATTCTTTTCATATAAAAGGAGAATGCCTAATCACAAGGTACAAACATATTATACTTTTACACAGATTATATGCAACATTGTTACCCTTCTAAGTAGAGGGTCAGAAGGTCATTTCAAATACCAAACCCACATGGAGGATCTTGAAACTTGTAGAAGAAGGAAATAAAAAAGGTTCTTGGGTTTTTGGAAGGTGCCTAGTATTTGGTAAGTACATTTGACACCTACCATGAGGTTTAAAATCTTGGTTTAGAAGACTTCATTCTTGAGTAAACATTCTTGGAGTTTCTTCAAATTTAATAGGTATAGAAACTTGGCCAAGAAGGTCTCGTCATTGAGTTAACATTCTTGGATGGAAGTTTCATTGCAACCAATTATAAAAATCTTGGCCAAATAGATGAGAAGTTGAGAAAGTCGAGTAAGCATTCTTGGATGGAAGTTTCCAAGTATAAAATCAGTGTAAAATATTTGCTAAGAAGTCGAGAAGTTTCCATTTAACTAAAAGTCCCCAGAGGGAAGTTTCTTCAAATTTTACAAAGTATAAAATCTTGAATGAGAAGATTCCATCTTTGAGTAAACATTCTCGAATGAAAAATTTCAAGTATAAAATCTTGGTTTAAAATATCTCATGCTCGAGTAAATATTCTCAAATAAAAATTTTCCAATTATAAAATTTTTGTCAAAAAGATCTCATCCTTGAGTAAACATTCTTGGATGAAAGTTTCTAAGTATAAAATCTAGGCTAAAAATTTTTTTTTCAAGTAAATGCTCTCTATCGAGAATAAAAATTCAAGTATAAAATTTTGGTCGAAAATATTTTATCTCCAAGTAAACATTCTTGGATGAAAGTTTCTTCAAATTCGTGTAAAGATCTTGGCTGAAAAGCCAAAAAGATCCCATCCTCGAGTAAACGTTCTCGTATGAAAGTTTCATCACATTCACATTATAAAAATCTTGGTCGAGAAGCCAAAAAGTTGAGAAGATCTCATCCTCGTGTAAACATTCTTAGATGGAAGTTTATTTAAATCAAAGTGTAAAATTTAGGTTGAGTTAGGCAAATAAAGTTCTTGATTGATAAATTTTGGTTAACTAATCTTGATATTTCACTTTAATAAGAAATTTACACTTTTTTGTGAAGGTGCCTACTATGTGTATTAATGAATTTTTGAATTGTCATTCACAACATGATAAACAAAAGTTACAAGTATTCGACTAAAAAGTTTATGGATGCACTTTAAACAATTAAACCTCTTTTTCCCATAAACTCAAGGCTTGGGGTGTATCAGATAGGGCGAATACCTTTCTTGGATTGAATACCCTTCCTAGTGTTGAACAATCCTATCATACCCCTATTTATTTAGAACAAATATCTTATTTATTCGGTTATGCCATCCCTAAGTTACCAATTGGTACTCAATTGACAATAAATTAATAGAACATAAGGTGGCATCTTATATTATTATTATTATTATTATTATTATTATTATTATTATTATTATTATTATTATTAATGATGAATAAATTTCATTCTTCTTATTACATAAAAGGAGAATTCCTAATCATTAGTAACAAATAAGTTACACATTTACACTAATTACTTACAACATTACTATCTCTCTGACTAGAGCGTCAAACTAGCATTGTAGGTACCCTACCTCGCCCGGAGGATATTGGAGCTTGTAGAAGAAGAAAAGAAGAAATGTTCTCAATTTTCGATAAAAGCTTGAAAGATACTCAATTTTTGATATGTACAATTAAAAATATTTTTAATTAAAATAAATTCATCTAATAAAGTACTAATAGTTAAAAAGAAAATTTTTTATCAATAATGATTGACATAAGTAATAGTGAATTATGTCCCTTAATAAAATTACTTAGTGTTTAAATTCTAATCTTGAATATAAAATAGACAATATTAAGAAAAAAATACAAATTTTATATGTACTTATAGAAATTAGTTATTATTTTCAATAATAAATACATTGTGTTTACGGTGGATTTCGTTTATGAGTCCTTTTTATTCGAACTAGCACCAAGGTGTTTCAATTTAGGTATTTTAGATGTTCGCGTTGTTTAAGGATGGAAGTACACGACAACAATTACCAAAAGCCAGTTTCCAAATCTTCATGGATTACAATAACCAATAATTTGCATGCATGTAAATACTTAAACGCACAGTGTAATTAAAACATACAGTGGCAATACAAATCATAGTTCAATTTGCATAATGATCACGTTGACAAATAAAATGTTGAAGCATAGTAATCAAAGTACAATTACACAATTACACTACGTGATTAAGAAGAAAAACTACACTAATCCTAATCCTAAAAGCAGAAAAGAAAAGTGGCCGAGAAGTGGTCATACCCAAAAACAATTCCATGCACGAAAGCCATATGCACAGGCGGAGAGTGCTTGAGAGAGAGTTATAAGTATGAAATTTCTGACCTTTGTGAAAGGCTATGCTTATCCTATTTATAGAGACTCTCGAGAGAAGTTAATTTCATGCATGCGTTGTTATGGGGAATAATCGCTATCCACTATGTTTGTTATGTGGGTTTAGGATGTAACTTCTCGCAACCGTTCATTCCACGTTCTTTGTTTCTTCGATTAAGCTTTGGTAACTGCCTTTAATTGCTTAATTGCTCAGAGAATCTAACATCTCTCACGTTTCTCGACCAAATCTCAAGTTCATATACTCAGGGTCTCTAATTCTTGGTGAGTATTAGCTTTCTTTCCAGTAGTTTCGACTGTGTAACTCTCGAGTTTTGAGTAGTATAGCTTTCAAGTAGGCCTAACAAATGCCCCCCTAGGAATTCAGTCGTGGTGAACATATCCTTACTGCGATGTGAGAGACTTGAATTCCTATCGAGAATCATTTTCCGATTCTTCATCTAGATGGCTTAAATAGTGACTATATTTTTTTGATGAAAACCTACTCTGATCCCGAATTTAATGCAAATGATCGTTTGATGGGACATTGATTGCCCTGACGGCGCGTGCTCACTCTACTCCATAAATTTGTCTTTGAGAAAATGGTTTTGGCGGCTGTTGCAGATATTCAAATTGAATATTTGAATTAATTTGATAAGTCTGTTTCACCTCAGGCCTACCAATGTGTTAAAACCCCTCTTTTTACCCTAGAGTGAAACCATTTTCACCATTTTGTTTCTTTCTTCCTTCACGCTCAAGCTTTCTTGCCTTCCCTTGCTCCGTTTCTTGGTCCTTCTCTCCGGCGATCTTGCTTACCTCTCTTCCATTCATTCACACGTTCTTTGCTTTTGTTTATCGATGGCCTCTTCTGCTGCATCAACTTCTGCTGTTGTAGCGTCAGTGGTTTCCCCCACCATGGATTCTGAATCATCTCCTACCATGGCCGCCACATCGTCTCCAACAATGGCCACTGCCACTTCCACTCAGACTGCTCCTTTGTTGATGGCTAATGCTCAAGTATGCGCCGTCAAAGATGGGGATGATACTTTCGTCCCTATTCCAGGCATGGAAGAGGCGAGCCTCAAAATTTTCCAGTCTCAGGTACTTCTCCCCTTCTCTCTTGAGAATGGTAGTGTTCATGCTTTCTTAGGGCCATTTGCGGGCCAAAATAAGAAAAAATTTGGCAACACCTTGTTGCCTGAGGATTCTTCCACTTTTCCTTTCATACACTCTGCTGAAATTGATTTACCAGTGTCTGGTGACACAACCAAGAGTTTTAGGGCTTTTCCCCCCACCAAAGATAGGCATTTAGCCTGGTTAAATCATGTGGAAAGTTCAATGCATTCGGTGTGGGTGGAAACTGGTATATCTGAGTTTATCCAATTAGCTAAGTTTGATTTGCATTACTTCGACCCTCAAATTCTTCTCTCCGCTATTCTTCTGGAATAGAGAGACTCGAGCTTTCGAGTTTCCTTGTGGTTTTGTCTGTCCTACTCTACTCGATATCCCTGCCATCACTGGTTTAGCACCTATTGGGGATAGGTTTTACCCTGATTTGTTCGAAGAAGAGATTTCGATCAAGGAAACCTCGATCTCCTGGGATAAGAAGACTTACTTGGCCTTCATCAATGCTCACATGGGAAAACCTGATACCCCTGTTTCGACCTTAGAGCATATCGCTTTCTTGATGTATTGGCTTTCTGCCTGTGTTTTCTGTACCCCCTCTCTTCAAGTTCCTAAGTATTACTACATCTTGGCTCAAGCCCTCCATCTAAAAAAGAAAATTTGTTTGAGTAAACTTCTGTTGGCTTCCCTGTATAGTTGTCTCGATGAAGCTTCAGAAAGCCTTTTCCGTGAGTCTGGTCCTCGTAATCTCTCTGGGCCACTATGGTTACTTCAATTATGGCTCAACGCGATTTTCGAGAAGAATCTTTCCCTGACATCGCCCTTCACCCCAACATGCGAACTCGAGGGTGCACGTTTGACAACTCTCACTCCTCGAAAACGTTCAGTTGATAATTTTGCCAAATATATTGATGCTATTCTTAGTTTCACTGATTTCAGTGAAGAATTGGCCCCCTTTATTCGTACAACTTTGACGGGTCCATATTGGCTTCGACAAAATAACCAAGTTGGAAGCATCACTTCAGAGTCGATTGAGATGTGGTTCGACTTCCTATCTTGGGATATAATAATCTCCGGAATGAGGCAAAAAGATGTCAGGATCTACCCTTATCAATCGCAGCTTTTCTCTCGACAATTTGGTTTGTGTCAGATGAAACCCCTCCCTCTTTGACGTAAAGAGAGTATCGATGTTGACATTTGTGTCGAAGAAGGGAACTATCAAGAAGTTCTGGATTTCATTCTTTGTCCCGACAAAGAACTTAAGCTTACACCATCTACTTTCTCTCCCTCTTTCTTAATCTCGAAGTGTTATCTTCGATGGTGGTGTGAATATTATGTAGATAAAATTATCGACTTTGATGTTTTTTTGAAGAAGCTGATCAATCACTACTACAAGATGCATATTTTACATCGGTTCTCTATACAAAAAAAGAGCAGCAATATCAGCTACAGAACTATCTTGGCAAGAATCCATAACTTGAAATGGCAATCTCAAAGGCTTGTAGCCTTTCTCCACGACGAAGGCCATTGCGATCATAGGATGATATTTCATTTATCTTGAGATCAACACAAGCTTTAACAAGTGCCTCCCCAACACGTTGAGCAGCTTCCTAAAATCATGTTATGCAAAAAAGAACAAAACCCAAAGAAAAAGCATAATGAGACCACAAAAAGCGACATATTTCCATGTCTCGTGCAATTTTTGTCTGCAAGAGGTCGTGTACTTACAAGAGTGCTACAAGGAGGATCTAGTCGGAACAATTTATGCAGTGTGCTTCCGTAGAACAAACACTTTTTATTTTTGTCATCTACTAGCATTGCATATAATTGCTTATCTGAGCAAAATACCGAAAGTCTTGGATGTGTAGCTGTTCCATCATACTGAAAAAAGAAAAAAAAGAAAAAAAGAAAAAATCAAGCATGGAATTAACAGCTGATGGGGAAAATCTTAGTACTTAGCAGTTAATAGTGGAGAACCATATAACTAAAGGAACTCAAAAACTTAGTTCAAGTTTCCTTAATCAATCTGCAAAGCTATCACCTGTTATAGGATTTAAGTAAAACATTATGGTACGTGTCTATATATTAAATGACTAGAGGAAAAGAGTCAGTTCACAGAACGAATTTATCGAATCTGCAACAATCTAGGAAAAAATGGGATGACATGACATGTTTTACAAATGATGAATAAGGTAAATGCATGGCAAACCTGTATTCCATATGGAATCTAAAATGTGTCTGCTTAACACCTTAATCATGCAAAAGATAAAGGGATTTGGCTACAAATAGATATGAAGTACAAAAGGTGGAGATATAACAAAGAGATACCTTTTTCTGCATCCTTCTGTTCCGAATTTTTGCACTTTCTGTTCTAGTATTTGCTCTGGCTTCAACCACTAAAGGTTTCTTAGTTATACCTGTAGGAACATTCAAAGTTCATAGAACTAAATATCAAAAGTCACATACAAACATTATATTCATGTGTGACAAATTCTAAGCATCTTGTTGGCATCCACGTTAAAGTCAAATGCCATATATGTTAACATATTCCATCGAACCGAATCTCAAACACAAGAAAAATCCAAAGAAAAAACTGCGCAAGATTAATTTCTGCAGAACTCACTTCTACTTTGTGTCTCAAAACAAACACACGATTTTGGACGAATTCCAAAGAGAGCAGAATTCTTAAACTGTAGCGTTGGAGCATTCACTTGAGCCATATTGTTCATGTCTCAAGCACCGTGTCAACTGCAAAAAGACCAAAACTTTTGTTACAAATACGTATGCAAGAACCCTTACAGGAACAGCAAACAGTTAATCTGCATGTTCATAAAAGCAGCACCCTTGTACAATTTGGTTAGACATTGAAGGAAACAACGACCCATGTTGAATTAAAATTGGCAATTGAAGATCAAATTATGTTGGGATTAATTTTTATTTTTGTAAACCTTTTACAAAGGGGATATATGAATTTGTAACCATTTTTTGTCTTCACTTTTTAGGGAACTATTATAACCCTTCATGTTAAAAAAAAAAAAAAAAAAAAAAAAAAATTTGAATCAGAGAATCAACAATTAATGGGGCATTCCACTATGCGTTTGTCTAAAATTGAAAATAAAAATAATCAAAGAGACAAATTGTTGCACCACATACCTTGTTCTCTTTAAAAACACATAATATCTTCAGAGAACCATAATCTACTGCATTGACCAGGCTTTGATCGTGATCCCTGCCTCACTATTTCTCTACCCATATTCGGAATCAGATTGTGTATTCTCATATGACAGGACAATTTTTATGAGACACTTGTCAATCAAAATCTGGATAACATAGTGTGGGGCAACGCAGACCACTATGTAGTATGTTTATGATGTCACTTAGTTCGTATCCATTAAAGAAACAAGCCATGTCAAAAATATTTCCTTCTCAAATTCCTTGAAGTCATCATAGTTTACTCTAATGGTGAGTTCCATTCCAACAGTGTTTTACCAAATAAATTAGAACCTATTACTTCCAGAGATAATGGAAGGCCATTAGACTGCCGTTTACTCTCTTTGAAATGTCTAGATAACTAGGATTGACTTGTTTTCTTCTGAAAACATTCCAGCCGAACAATTCAAGGGCTTCTTTATGATTTAATCCTTCTACTTCATAGTTTCTTTCAACACCATAAACATTTAGCAGATCTATCTCTAGTTGTTATAATAATTCTGCTTCCAGAACCAAGCCAATCAAGTCCACCAGCAAGTACTTTCAGTTGTCCCAATTTTATCATCATCCAAAATCAAAAGAGTTTTCTTTTTACAGAGCCTACTTTTAGGAATCCCTTTCTTTACATTCCCCAACTTAATGTCTTTCTCCAACCATATTAGAAAGAAGTGTTTCCTGAAGTTGTACCAGCTCATGCTTCACTGAATTTTCTCTAACGTCAGCAAGAAGAGAGACCTTCAAATTGATCAGTAATGAAATTGTACACTGCAAATGCAAGTGTTGTCTTTCCAATTCCACATATTCCATACCACCCTTACGTAAATCATCGATGTAGAACATTAGGATTCAAATCAATATATTTTAGTTTGCAATAAAGAATGTTAAGATGTTTCAAAGTTTATCTTACAGTAATGGTCAATCGCACGAGATTGCAACCCAATTTTCTAGAAAAGTGATCATATCCTACCCCTAATAAGATCAACTTCAATATAGGAGTTCTTCATATGTGTTTCACAAAAAGAGCAGCAATATCAGCTACAGAACTATCTTGGCAAGAATCCATAACTTGAAATGGCAATCTCAAAGGCTTGTAGCCTTTCTCCACGACGAAGGCCATTGCGATCATAGGATGATATTTCATTTATCTTGAGATCAACACAAGCTTTAACAAGTGCCTCCCCAACACGTTGAGCAGCTTCCTAAAATCATGTTATGCAAAAAAGAACAAAACCCAAAGAAAAAGCATAATGAGACCACAAACCCCAATGCTCTTTTTGGTTTAGTAAAACATTTATCTCGCCCTTCTTGGGTAAAGACACCCGACCCACTTTACTTTGAGCGTAAAGAGGTTCCTGTAAAGAATCGAGTTACTTATGCGAGATGTTTCGTGGACGATTTTCCTCGAAGAAGATGGTGGCCATTGTGTTTGGTCGATAATACCCATCCTCCTCTTGGTAAATGACTATAACTTAAGAAAATTTCTCGAATTTCCTTTGTACTTAGCTCATCCTTTGTCTATGTTATATATATCATACAGCTGCTATCCCTCAACGTGTTCCTCAACATGTTGAACAAACCCCCGACTGGGAAAGTGATGATGACGCTGATGCCAAAGGGTCATCATTGAAGAGTCGAAAGAGGAAGACTGCTTCTGACAAGGTTTCACTATGCTCCAAGGTACCATTCTTTTCGATCTTTCTTTTTGATTGACTTTTGGGTTCGCATGTTCGCATTGTTTTCCTTTCCTAATACTTGTTGTATTCTGAGGGCCTCGAAACCTCTAAAAAACAAAAGGCTGATTCATCTAGTACTAAAACTGTGAGTAATTCAATCTTGGTTCTACATTTCTTTTATCTTTCGACCTTAACTATTTTCATTTCAGGTTTTGACTACGAAGAAACAAGACAAAGGAAAAGGGAAACTAGTGAATCCTCATCCCAAGAAGACTCAAAAGCCTCATATTGAGAAGCTTCTCAAGGATGCTATGAAATCAATCCCTAAGGTATTTTCGTTTTTGATTTCGATCAAATTTCCATGTTTCTTTGACTTTTCGACTTTTCTAAGATCCATACTTATCACAGGATGTCGAGATCATCCAGATTGACTCCTCTCGCGAAATGTCCAGAGATATTCCTCCTACCGGGGAATCTCAACAGGTTCAATTTTACTCTACCTTTATTTTTCTATATCTCTCCTTAGTCTTCTTTTAATCTCATCATTTGTTTGCAGTTGGCCACTCCTCAACTCAATGTTGCTGAGATGGCCTCCATCATGGCTTCGATAGAGATTCCTCCTCAAGTTAAGGAAGGAAAGGTTCCCCAGTCAGAACCTTTAGTGAATTTGGAAACTCTCCATCAGTCTTCGCAAGGTGAAACTCCTTCTTTCGAGCTCAAACCTCCCTTGAGTCCAAACAAGGGTATATCTTCTTTAACTTTAAACTTTGGTCATGATTCTTAACGAAACTGTCTTTCTTATACATCTTGTTCGTCTCATTTGTATAGATTCGACTGAGTCTCCTAAACCTTTTACCGCTTCTCCTTCGACCCAAGGTGGTGTCGAATCCTCTGTACAGGCACTTTCCTCAATCCCTTCAACTGACTTGGACTTGATGAGTTTTTTCAATGAAGATGATGAGGATATCAACAGTATTTTTGATGTTCTCGACAACTGGACGAGCGGTCCTTCTGGCTCGGAAAAAGAAAAAGAAAATTTTTTTGAACAAGTTCCTGAGACAAACCCGTCTTTTCAACCTTTTCTCGAATCCTTCAGGTTAAAGGCCTACGTAGATGACCTGGATCAGGCCTTCCTCGACCCAGAATTCAAGATCGAAGTTGGACAGATGGTCAAAGATTTGCTCGCTTATTTTGACCTTCCTCCTGCAATCCACGTAGAGCTGCAAGAGTTTATCAAGTCTTTCACTCTTGCTTCGGACCTTCGATCACAGTGGTCTACCATTTTTCAAGAGGTAGCTCAAATTGAAGTGGAAAGCGAGGGTGATCGTCCCAAGCTCGAAAAACTTCGCGAGGAGTTGCTCTCCATCCGGAAAGCTACTGAGGAGATGATTCCCGCTTTAAAGAAGTTACAACAAGAGGAAGCGGATTGTACTACATCGATCGAAGCCTTGCAGCATGAGTTGAATAACCTCCGCTCGAAACAGGCTACCTTGAAGGTTCAAAGTCAAGAGGTTGTTCACCATCAAAAGAATTTGAAGGATGAGGGCAAAGTGGTCTCTTCTAGACTTGCAAAGACCTTGGAGCACAAGAAACATCTGGAGAGTTAGTGTGCTGCTCGAAGACAGAGCTTGGATGAAGCTTATAATGCATTTAAAGATTTCAAGTCCAAGTTGTAATAATTAATTGTTTGAACATTGGTTTTAAATTTTTCTTTGGTTTATATTGGACATATACTCTACTATTCTGTTCTTTTATGAAAGCAATTTAGGTATTTTCCATTAATCACTTTGCTCACATTCGAATCTATTTCTCTAATCACGTATGCGTTTTTCGAATATACTTGCTCGATTATAAAAGGTCCTTCCCAATTAAAAGACCACTTGCCTAAATGTCGAGATTTTTGATCCATGGGAAGAATGACTTTCAACACTAAGTCCCCAACTCGAAAACGACGCGCTTTGACTTTCTTGTTATATGTTTTCTCAATTCTTTCTTTTTGTTGAACCATATTTTGTAATGCCAACAACCTTTCTTCCTCCAAAGATATTAACTCGTCATACATTAAATTCCAATAATCCTCGATGGGCAAATCATTATGTTTTTGTATATGAGTTGATTGTAAATTAATATCTATAGGAAGAATAGCCTCATGCCCATACACCAGTTTATATGGAGTAGTCTTCGTGGCATCTCTAGGAGAATTTCTATAGGCCCATAAAATTTGGACAAGTGTTTCGTGCCAATTTCGAGGTTTGCTTGAGATATGCTTTTTAATTAAACTGATAATAAGTTTGTTAGCGGCCTCTACTTGTCCATTTGCTTGTGCATAGTATGGTGTCGAAGTTATCATCTTAATTCCCCGTGATTCAGCATATTGATCAACTTTTCGACCCGTAAACACTGTGCCTTGATCAGTCATAATTGTTTGAGGAATTCCAAACCTCGTTATAATATGATCCTCGACAAAATCAATTATATCTTTTTGCTCAGCCTCCTTCAAGGGAATTGCCTCAACCCATTTTGTGAAATAATCTATGGCAACCAATATATATTTATGATGTTTCGAGGAGGGTGGATGTATTTGCCCTATTATGTCGATTGTCCAACCTCAAAATGGCCAGGGTTTAATGATTGAATGCAATTCATTTGCAGGTACCCTTTGTATTGGCCCATGTCTTTGACATTCCTCACAACTTTTTGCGAATTCGATGCAATCTTTAATCATGGTTGGCCAATAGAACCCTTTTCTCGACAAGGTCCACTTCATCTTTTCACCTGCTTGATGTGCACCACAGATACCTTCATGTACTTCTACCATCGCTATGTAACTCTCATGATTCCCAAGGCATTTGAACAAAATCCCATTGAAACCCTTTTTGTATAACTCGTTGTTTAGCATAACATAATTGAGGGCTTGGAGTTTGATCCTTCTTTCAACTTTCAAATTTGAATTTTGTAGATATTCGACCAATTCTTTTCTCCAATCTTGTTGACTTGATGAACTGACACTTAAACTCTCTCTATGGCATATCAATTCATTTTCTGTATGAATCAGAGACTCGAGACATTCCTTACTTACTTTATACCCCGATGCCACCTGAGCCAGTTCATTCGCGATGGTATTCGCATGTCGAG